TGGCTGGAGTGTTGTTCTGTACCCCAAACGGTGATGGGGTTCCACTCCTGGTCAGGGCACATGTAGAAGACAACCAATTGGTATGTTTATCTCACATTGATGTTTTTCTCTGTCATTCCCTCTCCCTTCCACTCTCTCTAAAAATCAATGGAAAAATATACTCGGGTTAGGATTGAAAAAAAAAAAAAAAAAGGCCATTCCAGCAAAAAGACATACCATTTATAAATTTATATGCACCCAGCACATGAGCAACGAAATATATAAAACAAATATTAAAAGACTAAAAAAGTGAAATTAACAGCCTTTAATTTGTAATAATTACAATTATAACAATACAATAATAAAAAGCATAATATACTAATTAGACTGGATGTCCTTCTGGATGACCTTATGGTTGAAGCTGGGGCTGTGAGGGAAGCCTGGGTCCCGGGTGCCAAAGGGAATCCGGTGCCAGTAGCCAGGGGAAGGAAGGCCTACTGTTGCACAAATAGGGGATTTTAACACCTCACTTACCTCAATGGATAAATCATCCAGACGGAATGATTTCTGAACAACACATTAGGTCAGATAGACTTAATAGATATATACAGAACACTCTATCTAAAAGCAGCAGAATATACATTCTTCTTAAGTGTACTTGGAATATTCTCCAGAACATCACATTAGGCCACAAAACAAGTTTTAATAAATTCAAGAATACTGAAATCATACCAAGCATCTTCTCTAACCACAATGGTATAGAACTAGAAATCAATCACAAAAAGAAAATGAAGAAAGCACAAAAATGTGGAGATTAAACATATGCTACTGAATAATCAAAGTATTATCGCACAAAAATCAAAGAATAAAAATACCTAGAGAGAAATGAAAACATAAATACAACATACCAAAATTTACAGAATGTAGCAAAAGCAGTTCTAAGAGGGAATTTCATAGCAAGAAGGCCTACCTTAAGAAACAAGAAAATCTCAAACAACCTAACTTTACACTTTAAGGAACTGTAAAATAAGAACAAACAAAGCTGAAAGTTAACAGAAGTAAGGAAATATTAAATAAAGATCAGAGTGGAAATAAATAAAATGAAGACTAAAAAGAAATTTTAAAAGATTAATGAAATCAAGAGCTGGTTCTTCGAAAATATTAAAAAATTGACAAACCTTTAACTATATGAACCAAGAAAAAAACAGAGAAGACACAAATAAACAAAATCAGAAAGAAAAGTTACAACTAATACTACAGAAATACAAAGGGTCATAAGAGAATAGTAAAGCAATTATATACCAACAAATTGAACAATCCAGAAGAAATGTCTATAAACACACATTCTTTCAAGACAGAATCATGAATAGAAAATCTGAATAGATTTATGACTAGTAAGGAGATGGAATCAGTACTTAAAAATTTCCCAACAAAAGTCCAGGACCAAGATAGCTTCACCGGTGAATTCTATCAAACATCACAGAAGATTTTATACATATTCTTCTGCAATTCTTTAAAAATAAAAACTGGAGGGAAAAAAATTGAAGAGGAGGGAATGCTTCAAACTCATTTAATAAGGTCAGCATTACCAATATTGAAGCCAGACAAGGACACCACCATCACCACCACCATAAAATTATAGGTCAACATTCTTAATAAACATAGATACAAAAATCTTCATCAAAATATTACCAAACTGATTCAACAATACATTTAAAGGATGGTACACCATGATCAAGTGGGATTTATTCCAGGGATGCAAGGATGGTTCAACATGTGCAAATCAATCAATGTGATAATCTACATAAATAAAGTGAAGGATAAAAATCATCTCATCATCTCAATAAATACAGAAAAAGGAACTGATAAAATTCAACAAAGTGGGAACATACATCAACATAATAAAGGCCATATATAACAAACCTACAACTAACACCATATTCAACAGTGAAGATCTGAAATCTTTCTCATCTAAGGTCAGAAACAAGACAAGGATGACCACTCTCACCACTTTTATTCAACATAATATTGGAAATCCAAGCCACAGCAATTAGGCAAGAAAAATAAATTAAAGGCATCCAAATAAAAAAGAAAGAAGTAAAACTTTCACTATTTGCAGATAGTATGGTAATAGTGTGAGGCAAAAGTAGGTTTATATTTGTATGTGAAACAGAGTATATCCTTGTATTATTACTTATTAATTATTGTATTATTTTCCATATGAACAACTGTAAACCTACTTTTGTCCCACACTATGTAAAGAAAACCCTATAGATTCCACCAAACAAATAAACACACAGACATTAGAACAAATAAATTCAGCAGAGATGCAGGATACAAAGTCAATGTACAGAAATTGGTGGCATTTTTACAGATTAATAATAAACTATCATAGAGAGAAATTAAGAAAATAATCCCATTTATAACTGCATAAAAAGAATAAAATACTTAGGAATAAATTTAGCCAAGAAGGTGAAAGACCTGTACATTGAAAACTATGACATTGATAAAATAAATTGAAGAAGATATAAATAAATAAGACATTTGCTACTTATGGAATGGACGAATTAATATTGTTGAAATGTCCATACTATCCAAAGCACTCTACATATTCAAAGCCATCTCTATTAAAATCCCAATGGCATTTTTCACTAGGGCAAATAACTTTAAAATTTGTATGGAACCATAAAAAATCCCAAGTAGCCAAAGTAATCTTGACAAAGAACAAAGCTAGAGGTATCAGTTATCTCTGTGATTTCAAACTATATTACAAAGCCATAGTAATCAAAACAATAAAATGCTGGCATAAAAACAGATATAGCTGAAACCAGTTTGGCTCAGTGGTAGAGCGTCGGTCTGCGGACTGAAGGGTTCTGGGTTTGATTCTGGTCAAGGGCATATACCTGGGTTGCGGGCACATCCCCAGTAGGGTGTGTGCAGGAGGCGGCTGGTAGATGTTTCTCTCTCATCGACGTTTCTAGCTCGCTATCTCTCTCCCTTCCTCTCTGTGAAAAATCAATAAAATATATTTAAAAACAAAACAAAACAAAAAAACAGATATAGGTCAATTAAACAGAATCCAGAGCCAAGAAATAAACTCACACAGATGTGGACAATTATTTTATGGAAAAGGAGCTAAGAACATACAATGGAGAAAAGAAAGTTTCTTCAAGCAATGGTGCTGGGAAAATTGGGCACCCACAGGCTAAAAAATGAAATTAGACCACTATCTTATACCATATACAAAATTTACTCAAACGATTTAAAGATTTGAACATAAGAAACCATAAACTTTCTAGAAGAAAACATAGATGTAGCTCTATGACATCAACAATGTTTTCATGGACCAGACTCCAAATAGAATAGAAACAAAAGCAAACACAAATGTAAACATCAAAGTAAAAAGCTTCTGCACAGTGGAGGAAATGATTATCAAAATGAAAAGGCAACCTACTAAATGGGAAAAGATATTTGCAAATCATACATCTGATGAGATTAATATGCAAAATATACAAAGAATTCATACAACTCAACAACAAAAGAACAAACAACCTAATTTCAAAAATGGGCAGAGGAACTGAACATACATTTTTCCAAAAACATAGAGATGGCCAACAGGCAAATAAAAAATATGTTCTAGCTCACTAATAATTAGGGAAATGAAATCTAAACCGCAATGAGACGTCACCTCATACCTGTTAGAATGGCTATTGTCAAAAAGATGAGAAGCAACAGGTGTTGGAGAGAATATGGAGACAAGAGAATCCTGTATATCAAACATGTCAAACTCATAGGCTGCCATGATTCTGACATGCTTGCTGTATATAATAGGTAAACTGGTGTAGCCACTATGGAAAACAATATGGAGAGTCCTCAAAAAATTAGGAATAGAACTACCATATATTAGTTATTCCACTCTGGGTATTTATCCAAAGAATACAAAAATATTAATTCAAAAAGACATATGCACCCCTATGTCCACTGCAGCATTATTTATAATAGCTAAGAAATGAAGACAATCATTTGTCTTCATCAATGGATGTGTCCATCAATGGATGAATGGATAAAGAGATGTGGTACATATACATTATATATATATATATATATATATATTAATTTTTATATCTCAGCCATAAAAAAAATAAATAAATAAAATCTTGCCATCTGCAACAACATGAATGGACCAAGAGGGTATTATGCTAAGTAAAATGAGTCAGATGGAGAAAGACAAATAATGTATGATTTCATTCATATGAGAAATCTTAAAAAAAAAAAAAAAGAACAAACAAAACAAAAACAAACTCATAGATACAGAAATTGGTGGTTACCAGAGAGGTAGGAGGTTAGGGGGTGGGCAAAATGGGTAAAGGAGGTTCAATTGTATGGTGAAAAATGATAACTAGGCTTTGGTGATAATCACTTGGTAGAGCAGATGTAGAATTATAATGTACATCTGAAACATATAATGCTAATATTCCAATTTTACATCAATTAAAAATATAGACAGAGCTGAAACCAGTTTGGCTCAGTGGATAGAGCACTGGCCTGCGGACTGAAAGGTCCCAGGTTCGATTCCAGTCAAGGGCATATACCTTGGTTGCAGGCACATCCCCAGTAGGAGGTGTGCAAGAGGCAGCTGATTGATGATTCTCTCTCATCGATGTTTCTAACTCTCTATCCCTCTCTCTTCCTCTCTCTAAAAAAAAAAAAAAAAAAAAAAAATCAATAAAATATTAAAAAATATATATATATATATATATAGATAATAGATAGATAGGTAGATAGACAGACTTAAAAACTGTCTATTTGTTTCTTCAACTAAGTTGAAGGAAAATGCAAATATATTATTTGGTTTTAATGCTTATTACTCAATTTCTTACTTCCTGTTACAACGCAATTGTTTTGGAACACGGTATAGTGGATTACCAATAAAATTAAGAATTGCCCAGGCAATTTCTCCACTAAGTCAAACTCATTTTCAACTGAACCCAAGACACTCTCATTTTAATGACTTCTCTTACCTTCCTTCATCTCTTCAGAACCACATGCTCCTTGGACAGTGCTTTCTCTCAACCAAATGGGCCTCTCTTTGACAGATTTCCCCTCCAGTGAGGCCCGATGAAGATCTTCTTGGTCATCCATGTTAATGACCACATTCTGAGTATATAAGTCCTCATAGGAGGGACCTTTGGTGGCCCATGCTTCCCGGTGGTGCCCACTTGCCAGGCCAGCAGCTCCAGCAGTAGCTGCTGCACGGTCTTTGCTGAATGAGAAGATTAGAGAGCAGGAAGAAAAATATTTAAGTCTTGGTGTTGGGAAAGGAGGGCAGCTGCCTGGGTGGTTACTGAGAAAATGCTATCTAGCGAACATGTATACAAGCTTTAACAATGCTGAGAAACCTCGTTTATATCTCAGGGTGAAAGCTGCATGGTTATAAGAACACATTATTTTTACACTTAAGTTCTTCAAACTCTAGATTAATCTGGGATATATGAATGATGTCTGCCAGCTATTACCTCTAGCTATACCTAGAGCTGCTTAAAAACTATTCTTTCCCCTAGCCTTTATACCAGTTATTTGCTGCTTCCCTATGAGTCTAGGCTTAGTAGGTGTTTCTCTGTACTCAATCCATCCATTTATCTTGCTATATTTTAAAGTATTATGCTACGTTGCAAATAATTTGGAAAGTTTCTCTCTCTTTTCTTTCTGCATTCATCATGGTACTTTTTGAACTATTTACTGTTTGTCTCAATTTAATCCTTTTATGTCCCTAGTCATTGTCTTACCATCTTTTACCTATTCCGATGTCTTCTAAAAGGCTGTGTCACTGCATTCACTATAATCTGACTCTGCTTACTCTGGTGTAAATTGGCGTTTTGAATTTTAGTCTCTCTCACTTTTCTTTCTCTTCTCTTTTCCCTTGGCCTGATCTGTGTTTATATATTTACTTATTCTTTACGTACTCCTCTCTCACCGAGAATGTCTCTTCTATCCTCAGCCAACATCCTTACTTTGTTGTGTAGAACCTACTGTATATGCCTGCCTGCCCACAAGTGTACCTCTCTGAGCTAACCATATGCCTTCTGTCTCCCTCCATACATTAAATGTTTCTCTGGCTCTGACCTGGCCAACTACACTCTGTCCTTTTCTCTGCTTCCTTTATCCAGACTCTTATTTATTTATTTTTTTTATTGATTTCAGAGAGGAAAGGAGAGAAAGAGAGAGAGAGAGATAAAAACATCAATGATGAAAGGGAATAATTGATAGGCTGCCTCCTGCACTCCCCCTACTGGGGATCAAGCCTGCAGCCTAGGCATCATACACTCAACTGGAAGTGAACCCAGGACCCTTCAGTCCGCAGGCCGACACTCTATCCACCGAGCCAAAATAGCCAGGGCAGCTTCTTAACTGGTTTACTCACTCTCCCTGAAGCTACTACTTCTCTCTGAAGGTCAACAAGTATTAAGTACTTTGAGTAAAATAAATAAATGTTAGCATGAGGATACTTTTGTAAGTCTCTTGTTTTCAGTACTCTATTACAGAAAATCAAGATTGGTTTAATTCCAGTTTGAAGCAGAAGAGAGCTGACCACAAGTCAAACAAATTTTAAAATTTGGAAGAATTTTTTTTTTAAATGATATTTTTAACCGTGGAGAGTTGACTACACAAATTTTATTTCTACTTTCACCACAGATACAAACCAATCTAAATTATCAGCAAATGTGACACTAAAAATCTAGATGAGCGACACGTAGGTTCACTCCTTCCGCATATTTAAATTTCTTCTATGGAGAGAATACACACATTTTACTTAAAGATGACAAAATTGACAATTCAGTTTTAAATCTTTTTACATTATTTAAGAAACTTTAGGACTTTTAAAAGATATAACTCTTGCTTAGGAGTGTGGGAGGAATATTATTTCAAACTAAAACTTCAAAGACCTTTAAGGTGAGTGTTAAATAAGAGACAGTGGAAAGGGAGAGACTACGGGCAAGGAATTCTACTTAAGAAAAACTTGCTGAGAAGCTGGAACTGTCTATCAACTCTTGGATTAAGTCTACTAATTCTACAGAGGCAGCTTCTGGCTCCTGATCTGGGGATAAGCTAGAATTTAATTGGTTACAGATCAGTAACCAAAGTAACAATCATGCCACTTATTATTATTTTTTTTAAATCATCAGTGAATCACTGTCATCTCTGAACTCCCTTTCCACTCTACTATGGTTTCTTTTCTTGAATTTGGGGTAGGATGGCTATTGCAGATCTGTTATACTCTGAAACAAATCCTTTAGTATAGAAAGGTTAAATCAATACCACTTCCAGGATGTTATACCCAGGCAGTGAAGCTTGTCAAATGCTTGGCAAGGCCATCTCAGCCAGGTTAACACCTTGCAGCCTCGCTCCAATAGTCTTTCTCTTGAACTTAGTGCTTAGTATCTCCAGGTATCCCATTCTATCTCTTTTGCCTGTCTCCATTTCACCCTTTATTCCCTAGTGACCAGGCTGTTGGATAGATTCTTCCTTGATCAGTTTATTTGTTCTATTTCCTGTTTCTTTTTCATCCCTGTAGTCATCATCATTCCTGATGAGAAGTCAGGTTATTTGATACAGTGAGTTGCTAGAGCTTCTGGCATCACCGCCCCTCAGACTGTCTCTGGCATGAAGCAAGGGCTATCCAAATAAAGATCTGGAATGGGAGGTGGACAGTGGTAAGTGGGGAACATTAGAGGTAAAATGCCATTGGTGAAGGTGAATGAACATTATTGTACCCAGGGAAAATCTTGATAAACAGGAAAATAACTATGGTTAGAAGAGGAAACACAAGAATGATTCATAGATAGTATTATACTATGTTCTTAAAAACTGCAGTTACAACTTGAACTAATGTGTCCTATGAAAGGATATAACAGTAAATGCTATAAGCTCTTAGCTTTTTCCTCTTAGTGTAACTCTAGGAGGAAAAAGAAAAGAGGTAGTATAGGAGAACACTCGCTGACCCCAATTCCCTTTTACTAGTATGCTTTTCAAAGAATATAAGCCACTTTTTATGGCATGGCAAAAATAAGGCTGAAGCTACAATTCAATTAGGACACTCAAAGAGAACAGGAAGCCATAGTCAGAAGTACTAACTCACAGGAAACGCCTATTTTACTTCACTTTCAAGGAAGTTGCACTGAAAACTGAGGCAATCAAGAAAGGTGTGGTTAATGTGCTTCAAAAACAAAAAAAAAGGTGAATGCTATATTCCTTAAAGTTCAGCCTTCAGAACTTGGAAAATTCAAATATCCGGAAAATTCAAATATCCACAAGAGGCACTACCAATTTAGGATTAGCTGCAATTGCCTGAGTTGCAGCAGGCCTAATAAGCAGAGTGAGTAGTTGAAGTCAAACTTGACTATTTAAAGATTTTTGCCTAAGGCCCACACATTTCTGCATTTCTCTACAAACAAACTTCATCAAGGCACAAGTTAATAAGACAAGTGTGGCAGAGCTTAGAATCTATGAAACACTAGCCTTTAGTCTCCTAGTAAATTAGTTACCCACTCTTTCTCTTCAAAGCACAGGTAGTTAAAACAAGAACAAGTTTAAAGTGTTATTGCTAAGAGCACAGGGACTATACTCACCTCTGTTTCAGGGCTGGTATTTCTGTGGGTTCTGGCTCAAGTATTTCATAGGCCAAATTCACATCCTCTGTTTCCCGAAGCAAAGCATAAATGGGCTCAATTTGTTCATTAAACCTTGCCAAAAGTGTGCGTGCATCTTTTTTGGGCATTGCTGATTCATCTTCTTCTACCTCTGTACTGCAAAAAGTGCAGCGGAAAGTTCCTACAGAGAAAACAAAAGTCTCAGGTCAGGAAAGAGAAATTCTCAAGACTAGCCTTTAGCAAACTGTTTATTTCTCCACTCCTCCTCTAACAGGTTATTGTTAAAACTCTTAAACAAACAAACAAAAAACTTTTAAACATACAGAAAAGTTGAGCTTTAAAATGAATATCCATGTGCCCACCATTGAGATTCTAGAATCAACATTTTGTTATACTTAACATTGCATTTCGATTCATCTCTCATTTTTGATGCATTTCAAATTAATTTCTTACCCCTGATTGCAGCATAGCAAACAGATTTTAATCATATTTTTAACAATCTTATTTTAACTTCAAACCAATTTTTTTACAGTTTACCAGTGAAACCTGTACCTTTTCCCAAAAGCCTTCTTTTTACACATTACACATTTGGGCCTACATTATGGAGAAAGCCAAATAAATACCTGAAACCAAGTCTCTAGTCATCTTGTACACTGGCACGTGTCTATTTCTTCAAATTTATTAACCATTTATACCTAAACAAATTTAACAATCATCTCCAAAATTAAAGTTCAAGAAGCCTTTATTGTTCTTATTTCTTTATCCCTCACATTCAATTTGTACCTAAATTGCACTAATGCCTTAGAAATATCTTAAGATTTTTCACTTCTATTATAGAGTCACTAATCAAAATCACCATTAGTTAGCATGAAAGTTTCCTAAATCTGGTCGTTGGACCTCTAGGTTCTCCTCCATTTCCACGTTTTCTATGCCACCATTTTTGCTATCTCATTGCCCTGATCTGAAGTCTGTCTGGCAGCTGAATTTCTAAAGTCCACAGCATGAAATCTAAATTTCTCATCCTAACCTTATGATTTGACACAAAACATCACAACCCAACCATAGTCCTTTACCTGTCAAGGAAATTCAAATACTTGAAAGACAACATACTAGACATTAATATTTATTATATTTTATAGTACTTTGTTTCTAAAATGCTTCCATGTATACTTTTTAATCCTTATGTCAATCCTACAAAGTTCTGTCAGAACTGAAGCTCTGAGTTTTGTGATATGTCCAAAGTCACATAGCCAGTAAAAGAAAAGTATATAAGAAAATATTAAAGTGTATGCAAGTTGTATTAATTATCATTAAATTTTAATTGCCTTCACTTAACATGCTTGAACTGCTGCTTTAACTTAAGCATCTAGAAGCCAAAATATAACTATTGTTGCCTTTCTAACACCTATAAGTTCTATATTAAACTAAAATGCATGTTAGCCAGAACAAGAGCTATATACCATATATATATATATAGTATAGCTACTTAGTTGCATTTGAGATTTTCTAGTCATTGTCATTGTGTAATGCAACTACTTCTCACAGTTCCTGGTCTCATTTTCTGATAAATGAATTACTATATATTTAATGTAAAAATTCTTATACTAAGTAGAATGAACTTTTAACTTTTTTTCATTCAAAAGAAAAGAAAAGAACAGCAACTATTGAATACTGAGTGCTTACCAAGTATTGCCGATCCTCTGAGGCTTGTTTAATTATTGCACATTTAAATTTGTAAAAGACAGAGATTCTAAGGGATTAAGTAGCTTGCTCAAGGTTATTTAACTAATAATTGTGAGGAGGGGGCAGGATTCAAACTCAAACTATTTTGCTAAAATTCACTCTTAAACATTACATTCTACACCACTAGCCTCAACTGGATCTCTACTTTGGTTCTTATTCCCAACATCAGCAATATGCATCATTCACTTCTATCCCAATTTACCAGCGTATGGATTAAGAGACCATACAAGTACTTAGTGCCTGGCACATTGTAAGTATGCAAACATTTAGCTTTACAAAGTTCCATATGTGATTGATACGTACCCCTACCCTTTAACCTCTCCTTGGTAAGGAATAAACAAACTGGGCATCTCTGTCTGAACACAACACTGGAGCTTACTAGTACTGATGTATTTCAAGTAGAGTAAGCTTTTTTACTGCTTCTCACATATAAGCACTCAATACCGTATAGATTCTTTGTTCATATATCGCCTAAAACATTCTTCATCCATCTTGCTGCTGTCCAAATGGTATCTAATCTTTTACACCTCTTCCAAATAAGTGAGAGAGAAAAGCAACCTCCCACAGCTAGGAGATGGCCTACCACTCAGTTAGGCTCTGATATATTTCTATCAAAAAGAATCTCATAGACTACCAATATCAGATAAGGAAGGTCCCCTGTGACCATGGTGCAGAGCCAAGTCTGTTTGAGTAAGAATACAGACAAAATCAAGATCTCTGTCCAACCATACACACACACACAAAAATGTCAGCTAACCCCGACTACTGCTTCTTTACCAGTTACAGTTTTAACCTGACCCTGTTCTTCTCACCTTCCGAACAAGGCTTATTAAGATAACCAATCGGCCAGTGTGGCTCAGTGGTTGAGCACCAATCTATGAAACAGGAGGTCACAGTTCCATTCCCAGTAAGGACACATGCCCAGGATGCCGAGTTGCAGGCTTCATCTCCAATAGTGGGGCATGCAGGAAGTAGCTGATCAATGATTCTCATCACTGATGTTTCTATCTCTTTCTCCCTCTCCCTTCCTCTCTCTGACATCAATTAAAATATATCTTTAAAAAAAAACAAAAACCCAATTATAGAACTAGTGGCCCAGTGTGTGAAATCATGTGCAGTAGGCTGCCTGCCGCTTCTGCTGGAGGCAGGAGCGAACTGTTGGTGCTTGAGGGAGCTGGCAGGGAGCTTCCATCCCCACCCATAGGAGCGGGATGGCAGGAGAGGGAGAGACCAAGAGGTGCTCCATGCATCTCCTGGTGACAGGATGCACACGCAGTCCTGCTCACCCATGCATACCTGCTGCGCACACAGCCTCTTGGTGATAGGTGGTTACACGTGAGGGCATGATGACGATTTGCATATTAGCCTTTTATTATATAGGACTCCCACTTCTTGACAACACCCAATCCAGACCAAATCCAAACCTTCCCTGAGTTCTCCCCAAAATTACCTAACAAAAGCCCCAATTCTCCATCCAGTGCGTTCCTATTGTGACACTCCATAGTTCCTCATGGCATGTGACTTCCCATGTTTCAGAAAGCATCAATATACCCAACTTTGTTTACCTATGGGTTGTGTTACTGATGGGTTTAACTAGTGGGCATCAATATAAAAATTCTAGTTTAATCAACTGGACAAGCATTCTATCATATTTACCAAAATAAAGACAGAAAGAATAAGTTCTTTTTTCTTTGTGGTGAAAAGATGTAAACTTACTTTAAATATCTGAATATTTGTTACCAATTGGTCATCAAAATGGATTAAGTTACAAGCTTATTACAACTGCTCAAAGCTCAAACGTGAGACGTAGAATAGAAATTCTGATATGAGAATCAACAATATGTAGTAACTGAAATCATAAAGTAGATGAGAATATCAAAGGAGATTAAGGAGAGTGAGAAGCATAGCCAGTCAAGACATAAACCCAAGGAAATAAGAATTCTTAAGACAGAAATGGTACAACCAGAGAAATAGGATGGTATTTCAAGGGAAAAATAGTTTGGTGTTAATTTCTCAAGGTAAAAAAAAAAGGAAAACTAGTTTCTATATTTAGTAACAAAGGGTATTAGTGACCTTAGCTAGAGAGGTTTTAGTTGGTATGCTATCTTAAATGATTTTCTAACTATTCCAGGTTACCTCAGCTTCTTTGCTTCAACAAAAATAGAATAGAATCCATGTGGAGTTAAAAAATAAATCGTATAAAATACGGTCTAAATCCATTTTCAAATACCTGCGGAATTAAAAAGGAAAAAAATGCTGATGTGGGACTTACATTAAATTTTGAAAAAGATGGACACTTACAAAGACTGTCAATGAAAACTAGAGAATACTGCAAAAAAGTTATGTAATTCAGTTTTAAAATTTTAAAGAAAGTGAAGAAGTAACTAATATCTATATCTAAACATCTGTATATATCTATATCTATACCTATATCTATACATGAAAGCTTAAGTGACCATCCAATCATTTGACCAGTAGCTATGATGCACACTAACCACCAGGGGGCAGATGGTCAACAAACAGGCATGGAAACATGAAACAGATTGATGAATCTCAGAGGAAAAGGGGGAGAGGGGAGGGTGGGAAGAGATTAACCAAAGATCCTGTATGCATACTAGCGGCCTGGTACATGGATTCGTACACCGGTGGGGTTCCTCAGCCTGACCTACAGGGATTGGGCCGAAACTGGCAGTCCAACATCCCCTGAAAGGTGTCAGATTGCAAGAGGGCACAGGCCAGGCCGAGGGACCCAACCAGTGCACAAGTCCGTGCACTGGGTCTCTGGTGTAAGTATAAAAGCAAGTGCTCCAACTGGAGCACGGAAAGACAGCTAAGACGAAGGGTAACACTATAATCCTCTCAACCTATGTCTTCAGAGCATTACAAACAGAGCTCCTCAAAGTCTTGGACCAGGCACACTTTGCTACAGAGCCTTTGTACTTGCTGTTTCCTCTGCCCAGAATGCTTTTCCTCCAGATAGGTAAGTGGTAAGTCTCCCTACTTAGTTCAGTTCTTTACTCAAAAATAATGTCAGTGAGGCCTTCCCTAACCACCATCACCTAAAATTTCAATACTGTCCTGCCCTTCCCTTTTCCTTAACATTTATCACTATCAAATGTTTTATTATTTATTCAATTATTTATCATTAAAAGTATTATGCTATGCTGACTTTTTAAAAGTCCTCCCAAATACCCATTTCTCTTTTGAAGGCAAAATACATTCAAAACTTCAGCTTCAAATAAACAAGCAAATGTGCGAGTCAGTGTTGCTCATCCATATAAAATAGCAATGCTTTTATTCTGGGGGGAAAAAAGAGATCACTGTTAACATCATCATCTGATAGAAGGGCAATCTGAGAATAACAGTCCTTTAACTTGAATAAATTTGGTTTGTAGGAGAGAGAACATATAGACATAAGAGACTTGAATTCCAGCCTCA